TAATTTTTATTCCCCATTGTTAACATCAATTTTAATAGCTTAATTAATTTTATATAATTCACAGTGTCCCTAAAGAAACTCACTAACGAAATATCATCATCGATACATTATTCTTACCTAAAATTATATATAATTAATTTTATATTATGCGAAGTAATAAAATTGACCCTTTGTGCTCGACGATTTTTTTGGCTAAAGAAGGGGGAACGAAGGGGGAGGAAAGGGGTAAAGAAGGGAAGAAGGGCTTTTGGCTAAAAAATTTTCTGCTATAAAATTGACGATATTCTTTGAGCACTCGATAAGAAATCGTATAGTAATTAACACGTAGAATTATTTAATTTCGATACCTGCCACACTGTTACGTTATTTTAGATTTGATATATTAATTAATATCGAGCTTCGAAATTTTATCAAATGACGACTGAAAGGCGTCTCTCGAGTGCAAAGGGTTAATAAAAATCAGGACGAAAAATCCTAGAGGGAAAATAAAAATCGGGAAAAAAGGAAAAATGGGAATTTGAAAATATCTGTTGACATCGATACATAGCTCATTTCAGTTTGAACTCTGCGTCACAATGCACCGCCCACGCGAATCGATCGCGTTACTTTTAACCATTACTCAATGCGTTTTACGTAACGCGTTACGGGCGCGGCGGCTGCGAAACGGAAGTGCCTTTTAATCACTTTTTTATTGGCGGCCCTGCTCGAAAACCAATATTAGCTGTTCAGGCTTGGCCGTGCCATAGATAAACGCCAAGATTGTCCCGATAGCCCGATCGTGAGTTTGCCCATGGTAACATTGCTCGCAACAGGTTTTCCTCTGTGTCCTATAATAATTTTCAAAAACAGCCAGTTTAATTGTTTAAATTATTATTGTCAGTCAGTTGTGATACTTGTAGAAATTTTTCTCTTCGAAATCCTTTAATTTTAGAGAATATTGTCTGAATTTGAGGATTTTCAGAGGGACCATTGCTTGATATTCCACATCTTATGATAATATTTAAAAACAATCTATTTAAATTTATTTAGTCTTATTGGAGGCTAATTATTATATTTAGAAAATTTTGCTTTTCCAATTTCTTTGAAAATAATTTGCGAGAATGTTGTTTAAATTTTTGAATTATTAAGAGACCGTTTGTTGATATTTCGTATTTTATTGTATCGTTTAAAAATGATCTGTTCAACATTGCATTAGAAGAATTTTATTAGAAGAATTTTCTTCTCTTTGTTTTCGAAATTTTGTAGGAATAATTTGGAACTTTGTTTAAATTTATGATTATTTATATTTATATTATTATATTTATATTACCCAGCATGGTGGATAGAGTGTAGCAGGTATAATGATTTCGAGTATGTGAAAGTGTTGAAAATTTGAGAAGTTGGGTGTGGCGGCAAGTAGAATTGGTCAGTTATGGCCAGACACGTTATATTTCAGACATCCTTGTTAATGATAGAAAATGTAGAAAAATCTCTTTTCGTAGATTTAAATGACTTTTAGTGATCAAATAAATTACATATGACTGTAAAATTTAATTTGCATTAAAAATAATTAGAATAATTGCACGAAAGAATAATTAACCCTTTAATTTATCAAAAGTTTAAATGTTCTAAAGAATTTATGCAATTCTTTCCTGTAATAATTTAAAAAAATTCCTTCCTATTTCAAAATTAAAATTATTGAACTATCATCTCTCTAATATGATCACAAAAATCACAATATTCTTCCTATACAGAATTATAAAATCCAAGATTCTACTTCCACAAAATCTCTAATTTTACCTTAAATTATTAATTACAAATTCAATTTTTAAATCGTTTCTCCTCATAAAAAGTTTCAAATTAAGCAACGTTATAATTACAACAGTCTCTTCACATCAAATGCAAAATGAAAACTAGATAAAGCGTTCAGAAATCTCATTCGTCAACTTTCTGTAACTTCGCTGTAAATTGCTCGTGTACAAATCGAAAATTCAATTTAAATATTCTCTTACATTAAAAATAAAATAAAGTAAAATAAAATAAAAAAAATAAAAATAAACGAAATGAAGAAAAAGAAAAAAATATTTCTCAGAGGAAAAGGAAAAATTGCAAAATCGAATAAGAGGAACTCATTGACGTTCACTCTTTGGCCAGTCATCATTTAGTCATTGAATGGCAAGGCCGTGGAATTAATCGTGGCTTACATAATGGCACGTAACGATGACTATCGAGAGCAGGAAGACAAGCCGTGTCTTCTGGTCAACGCAGGCGATCATGGGAACGAAAGAATGTTAATTAAGACACGGGCTAATTAGGCCCGCTTAACGAGCTAATTGATCGCTATCTCGCCGATTATTATCCCGGATAATTATTTCGTCGCGCATTAAGTCGCAGTTCGAATAAGAAGGTCAGGACTCATACTTTTCCTGTTCTTTTACACGTGTGTATCGCGAATTTTCATTCTACACTATGTGAACAGATTTTTAATCGACCTCAGATTACTATGACAGTATTTTAAATTGTTTTTCCTTTCTGTTTCATTATATATTTATAAATGAATATTTTCAGACATATTTTTCTGATACCTTTACTGTTTACGATTATTTGGAGAAATTTGGAAAGTTAGAATAGGAAATAGTGGATATAAATTATTATAATTAATGGAAAGTGACTTCTATTTCTTATTAAGTTAATTTTTCTCTAATTACGTTTTTATTATTAGATTAATATTTATAACACAAAGAAATTTTGGGGGAACTTTTCAGATTGAACATTTGAATATTAAATAGTTTTCTTTTGGAGTTTAGTTGGACTTGATTAAGATTGCACTTTCGATTTTGAAGTAATTTTATTCTCTTTTAATTAGCGATCAGAAGAACATGTTTTTTGGAATTTTTATTTCAGAACGTAGCTCTATTGTTCTTCCCTTTGTTTACTCTCTGTGGATATTTTAAAACTATATTTATCAAGTGGAATATTTTCAGCAACCCTCGTATATTTTTTTATAACAATATTCGTTTAATTTCTGAATATTTCTATTTCATTAATCCCACCAAAAATACAGGGACCTTCTTATTCTGGAATTTTATTATTATTTTTCATGCAATTTTTTATTTTGACTGTTCACAAATGATTACTATGGATGAAAAATGACGAGGATGGTAGAAATGTAAACTAACAATGTATTTCTGTTCATAAATATATAATTCAATATGGATAATATATTTTTATCCTACGTTTTGCTTAATCAAATAATTTGTTGGACACTGTGTTTTATAAAGTTTGAATTTGATGCCCCTTGATGGTGCAAGGGAACACCATCATTAGCTTAACGAAGAAATTTGACCAGTACTCTTTAAAACCTATTTATATCACGATGGTATGTAACAGGGAAGATGTTACTTTCCTAGAAGCTTCTTGCCATTATGAAAATTTCGTGAAGTTTAACACACTTTGTACTTTAAATTCAAATTATTTTCTGAAACATTGAAGAAAATTTGTATTCTCGGGAATAATTTAAAAATTGTATGTATTTAAAATTTCTTTTAGAATAAGTTGTTTCTGCAGAAAGTATAGAAAATTTTAGTTTAATTTTTGTCATAACAGAAACTATTTTAATTCATAAAAATAATTTATAAAAATTAAAACGACTGAGGAATCATTCAGAGTCAATAATATTTCCTTCTTTTCAAATAGATCCTATGTAGTTCAATTATAATTGTTTATAACTGAATTAATTTAAACAGTGAAGCAGCAGTACTTCCAAAATCTTCTGTCAACTGTTTAAACAATTTAAACATTTTTCAAAATTAAAGCAACAGAAGAATCTTCCATTTACAAATTGATCCAGTAATCCTTTCTGTTGTATAGACAATTTCAAAATTCGTGAAAATTAAATTAACACAAAAAGTTGTTCAATGTTGAACCTAATTTCAAAAAATCTTCTATTCCAATTAACCAAGTAGTATTATAGTTTGAAAATTTTATCCAATTCACAGATCGTATATTCACCAATATCATAAATATTTTCCATAGATTCTATTACAACGATTGAGGTCCAGCAGTAAAACAGCAATACATTAAAATTCATGTAATAAAAAAAAAATTAGATTCTTAATTCTCAATCATTCGTAATAAAATTAAATACAGAAGATAATTAAATTCTTAATTAACAATAAATTCTTTTCGATATCTCATCCCATGTAAAAATAAAATTCTTTGTTAGTAATAAATTTTTCTTAATATCCTATTACAATTTAAAATTAAGTTCTTCTTAATGTTCTATTGCAATTAAAAATAAAATTCTCAGTTAGTAATAAACTCTTCCTAATATCCTATTACAATTTAAAATGAAATTCTTATTTAATAATAAATTTTTCTTAATATCCTATTAGAATTTAAAACGAAATTCTCAATTAGTAATAAATTCTTTTTAATGTCCAATTACAATGCAAAATGAAATTGTAATTTAATAATAAATTTTTCCTAATGCCCTATTACAATTAAAAATAAAGTTCTTAATGAACAATAAAATCTCCTTAATACAGTAAAAATTCATTTTCTCAATAATAAATTCTAAATACCTTCTTAATATCTATTATTTTCTTTAATTCTTCTTAACCTCTTCGCCTATAATATCCTGTAACACTCCTGGTAAGGAATTCAGGCGAAACATAAATATCTCAGGCGAGAAGCGCAGTTCGTAGCTAGGCCCCAATGTAAATAAACACTGGTCAGGCCAATGGTTCATTTTCGCCGTTATCTTTTCGTCTCAATTACGTGTTATTCTTCGAACAAGATGCTTCGACGTGTGACCGACTGTGCTGTTGACTATGGCACGTGGCGTCGGAACTTAAATCGTAGAACAAGCACTTAAATAGTAAAACTTAAATCTATGTTAATTACAATTAAAAATAAGATTCCTAATCCCAATAATAACTTGTGCTTAATGTCTCGTCGCAATTAAAACTAAACTTCTTAAAAGAATTCTATCCTAATAAAAGAATATTTTCTGTCAACAGTTTCGACGTGGAAAATGGCGCCTCAACGCTGGACGGTGGCGCCGGAGGCGGCGGTGGCGCCTCGCCGAGTGCAGGCCTGGTGCTGCAAACCCTGCCACAGCGACGAGAAAGTTTCCTCTATCGTAGCGACAGCGACTTCGAGATGTCGCCAAAGTCGATGTCTCGGAACAGTTCAATCGCGAGCGAGAGGTGAGCTCATGAACCTATACTCTTGCTTAGCTCGGTGTCGACTTGAGGAAAGCATTTTTTTCATTATTTTTTTCATCTGTGTCGAGAAAACGAGGAAAGATTCGACCTTGTAAATAACGAAGTAGGAAAGTCAGATTGTTGATACACCGCTGAACCGATGATCGCGATTCTTGAGATCCGATCAGACGATTTTTCATTTTGTACAAAGATTGAAATATCGGTTGCTTGTGCGCAGTAGAAGTAGCAGAGCATGGTCAGACAATTCGTATTTTAGGTTTGGTCTAGGGGAATTTAAGATAGGCACTATATATTTTAAATAGTTTAAAATATATAATATTTTTTTTTAAAATATATAATATTATTATTAATAAAATATATAATAATATTATTAATAAAATATATTAATAGGTAATATTTTAATAGTTCCAAATGTTTCACATAAATTTACCGGGTGTTGATAATAGTTGTAATAGTTAAATAAATTCTTGATAAATTTTTAATTTTGAAGTTGCAAGTGATCGAAGTATAATTATTCTCTGGATGTGTCGATTATGGTAGTTGAAATAAAGCAATGAAAAATATATATTGCTATTAAAATTTGTATTATCTATTTTAAATTTGGATTTAATAATTAATAGAATATATATTATTTACAATGATAAAATAGAAGTGACTATTCGCATAACTGAAATGTGAAAAAGAATTTATGAAAAGGGAACAAATAAGAAATTAAAATTTTATAGACTCATTTGATATCTCATTTAACAGTAAAGATTGTATTTTCGTAGATTAATTATGCATTTGCACTGATTGGCTTATTGAAGTTATTATCGGATTCCCGAGAATTGGCGCGAAATTCATAATTATTGGTTATTCAATGGGAAACTATGTTTCGTAATTAGACGATTCTGGCGTAATTTACGCCCACGTGAATTACAGATCCTCTTGACACGACACCGTTAATTAACGCATTTGTAAACACGTCAGTGGTAATTGGCCTGTTGTAACGTAATGTGTACGTGTTCATGAATAATTTAAAAGGAATTAGAAAACAAACGCGGTGACTGTGTTTGTCCACCAGTGTTTTATCGATTCATAGAGTCACGTAATTGTCTCAGACATCATAACCAAACATCAACGTACAACTGTTCAAACGTAAAATTACTCTATGTCATTGTTGCCTGTACTATCAACTGTAAGAAACGACATATCAACCGTAGTCTGAAATAAAATGTTCTGTTTCACTGTCGGTAATGCAGTGTGCAGTTAGGAAATTGACTTTATCCCAGAAGATAAAGCAGATGTTACCAGAACATTCATATAGTACTGGCATCTTCATAGATTTGAGAATGCTTTCAAATTTCGATAATTGCTCTGTCGGTATTATGCAGCATCTCATCCCTTCAGGATCACTATTCACGATGTTCTTTAAATATTTATAAAATATTAAAAAAGGAAATGAAATATCAAATATTATGTGAAGAAGGAAGCAATAAACGGATAATAAAGGTATTGACAGAAAAGAAATAAAATATAAATTAATATAGGAGTTGTTACTAGAATGTCTGACCGTGATCGTACCTATTCCACTGCCACGAGGTTATAAATTTCCTTTTTCAAAAATCTTTACACCTACCAACCAAATGTTTTATTGCACCGAAAAGCACTCTGTTTATCTATAATTCCAATTGATAATCGTAATTTTATTTCTGCAATATCGCCAAAATACTCGAAGCTGCAAATCGCAAAGCTTGCAAAGCAGCAAAGGAGATCGATTACCAGCAATTTTATCCAATTATTCAGCAATTGTACGAGAACAGTCTGCCATTTTTCTTCTTTCTATGTGTAGCTTGACAAAGTATCGTAGCTTTCTATGGTGATGGTGATGGTGCTTAACATATATTACCAATTTTATTTTTTATTCTTTCTCTTATCTGTGATCCTTGTATATACCGTGTAGCAAGGCGTTGAAAAGCTGTACGAAGTTCCTCGAGATAAAAATCACCGTGTCCTCTGTCCCACGATACGAAAATTTCCCCTATGTCCGCCGTTAGAAAAATGTCTTTAACGTAAAATCGACGAACAAAGTAACGAACGTGGTAAAATGAAAAATTCTCTCAGAGGAACGTGTCCTTTTATCTCGAATTTTCGCGCCTCGTTGCACAAAGAGAAAAAATATTTTTTTCTCTTTGATTTTCCGCGAAGAACCGGGTGCGGGGTGTGACAATGCGAATCATGTTTGTGATCCTTGGGTTACAGGTTCAAAGAGACAGAGCTTCCTGTCGAGCGAGCGTATGTACACGATCCTATTATCTATTATCAGTCTCTCGTTTCACTTCACATATATATATATAAATATATATATATATTTATAGTCACAGAAACACACTTACAAACTAATCGACACCCCACGCCACGATAATTCCGATCGCTGTGAAATCGATTCGATACGCTGCCTCTTTAACCACTTCCTTTTTCTATTTATCTGTCACACATACATATAGAGAACAGTGGGGGTTGTTGGGGTGCATGAAACTGTTTGCTGTCGAAAAATAATGGGAGATAAAATGATAATGAAATTCTGCCATAATTCCGAAGCTGAGTAGCCTGTTGAGTCGTTCAGTTACCTTGTGGCGTGCTTTCATCGAATTTTCCTTTGCGATCGGCTTTCATTTCGATACTAGTAGAGTAGAATTGGAGCACAGTATGTGGGAAGGAACCGGTTTATCGAGGAGTGAAATTCAGGAAGATGAGTTGGAAGGTGTTGTCGAAGTTTCATAACAAACTGTAAAATTCAAAAGAATATTTATTTCAACGAGAAATAATTATTCGAGTAATTAATAAGGATTTTTGTTAATAATTTTATGACTTTAGAAATTGCTTTCCTACAACTGTTAAAAATTTATAGTACTGCTTGGCATATTTGTGTCAACCACATTTTTTAATTTTTTTAATTTTTAATTTGTTTTTATTACGAGGATAAATTTATGAAGATTTGCTAAATTGGTGGAATTCGTGAAATACATGGAAATATTAAAATTTGAAATTGGATTACGTGTATGAAAAATAGGAAATGTAGTGATGAACGAAAGTGTTCTAATGCTTATAAATTATAAATTTTGTAGTACAAATTGTTATTAAAAATTGTACTGTACCTGGAATAAGGTACGAGTGTTGAGAAGCTGTGGTTATGATTATAAGAAAACAAGGGATTAGTTAACGTTTGAATGCTTCCCTCAGTAATTTTAGTAGTATTTGTGGGAGACATTGAAACACGGATTGTACATTGTATTAATTTATTTTGATAAAGAGATGTGACGAATTTTAATGAGAGACCTAACATTCGAACGTGGGTCACCTGGTATAGACAAGTTAATTTTGACCTGCTGTTGACGCCAATGGAGTACTTTATTTTCCAAATGAAGGATTCATCAGTGACGAGGGACACGAATTGGCCTCTTTTCATCATTGAAACGATCGAAATATTTTCATAATTACTGTGCTTAATAATACTACAAATATCGTCGGTAATTGTCAAAATCAAACTTCAATACAAAATTTCCTTTAGGAAGAATATTTATAAATAGAGTATAATTATTGAAATATATAGAAAAAGTACTAAAATTGTATTCACATTGATTTGAATAGGTATATACATACATGCTTTGCAGTACCTTTTTAACAATGTAGTATATTTTTTCCAAAACCAAACTTTTTCCTTAAAATTTATGTAAAAAGTTATGTTTGATCCACTGAGTTACTCGATTCTCAAGGTATAAAGGAACAATTTATTTATTTTAATGTCAACCCCGAATACGTGATATGTCAAAGAATATTTCATAATTATTTCGGTTTAGTTAGGTAAAAAACAAATATCGATTTCCTGATGCAAAATTTTACTATTTATTTTCTACAAACTCGAGGAATATGAAATATAACTTGACTATATTCTTCTCTTTGCACTTATTGCATTTGAATGCAGTGAAATGTTTAATTGATAGTGTTAGGAGAACTAGAACAAACTATAGGAACAGTGTCACCATATGACGGTGGCAACTACTAATAATTTAAAAGTACGCATGTATATGTAAATATACACGTACATATACGAACGTATAACCATATTCAGTAACAGTTTGATATTTTCATATGTAGGTTACGAATCATAAAGTATAAAGTGCAGATTATAATGAAAAATAAAGTGTTCCTGGTAATAATATTTCGTTCACTATTTTCACAAAATTATAATATGAAATACAGTCTGAATACAAATAAACTGGGTTGACATACGTTGGCAGTAAAATAAATAAATTTACACGAAATGTACTTGTATAGAACAGGAAACAAAAAGAATGATAGAAGAGTGAGAAACGAATTATTTATGAATCTATTGCACTTTTCAATTATATTTATCAGTACCTGCCAACTCATTGACAGTAACTCCAATCTTTCTTTTTCCTTTATGAAAATTCTAAATAATTTCCTCATATAATATGTAATGAATTGTGAAGATCCTTCAAATTTTGAATTCATTTCTTCCTCATATGTTTGCAATGTTATATTAGAGCTTTCAATAACAAAGGATTTGTTTTAATCCACCAAACTTCTATATTAATTCTCTCACGAAAAATAAATAAATAAACATAAAAGGTTGAAAAATTTGGTATTTAATACACAAAAATTTTATGTATAATTTCTTAAGCTAGTGGATTGATTATTTTCTAATTATAATTTAAAAGAGTAATCCAAAATTCAGTTACAATTTCAACCCTTTGCACGAAAAATAATTCCAAGCTCTTTTGACGTCGAAACTCGAAGTAGAAGTGACAAGAAAATAGCGATATTACACAAACTATTAGAGTACAATAATTTTATAAAATAATTCATGCATTTTTCTTATATTATTTCACAAAAGTATCATCAATTTCGCAATAAAAAGTTTTGGAATTACTACTTCCTTATATATATGAGCCGTTCACTGCACAAATCGATTAACTCCACCTTTTGAAAAATTTTAAATTTAAGTGTCAAAGCACTTGGTATAGTTATAACTACATTATTCCATTGCATTTCTCCACTTTTTGTTTTATGGAGTTAATCAATTTTTGCAGTGAACAGCTCATATTAAATACTATATTATGTATTATATTATACTATTATATTATATATTACATATATTTACATATATAATTATAATAATATATCGTTAATACAAGTTCATATAATTGATACAATAAATTAATTACATAATAAAATAAAAATCTTCCAGTGTAAAGGGTTAACTTTCTCAGACTGGTTCCTTTCAGCATAACGTGATCCAATGATCGTCTGTTATTTATCAATTTCAGAGATGTCGATAGAGTTTATCAAGTAGAAACCTCGATCGAAGGTCGCTTATTGAATGCTTAGAGGCAGTTTTTTCCAGACATATTATTTTCCAGATAAATACCGCGAGCTTCCGAAAAAAGAGAAAAGAAAAAGAAAAAATAAAAATCGAGAAAGAAAAGCAAAAAGAAATAACCGAGGTGAATCGATGCTTCGTCGAAACGAATTTCTCGTTCAAAAGCAGATGGCAGAATTGCGCTAACAAAATCGATGCTTGAACACGCGCGCACACACGGGATACACTGTGCATTGTTTTATTTTCTTCCTATTTTGCACCGCGAACGAGAAACAAGGAAAAAGGGGAAGGCAAAAGAGAATCACACTCACACATTGAAACGTAGACTCTGTGAGAAGTTCGGAAATATACGGTGTATCGATTGTACAGATATGCTTCTCTTTTTTGTTCTCCTCTGTAAATTGTTTTTGATTGTTGGTCGTTTTGTAAAATAAAACGAGACACACCCAGTAGTTGGTTTTTTTGTATAAAAGAAAGTAAGATAATTGAGAAATTGCTAGAGGTAACATAGGGAACAGAGAGGAACTGTATAGGCTGCGTTTTACTAACTAATTAACAGCATGTCATGAACTATAGTGGAACGTTTTCGAATAAAAACGAATTGTCATTTTCAGGATATTTACCGATCAGTATAGGTAAGTCGCATTATTACGTAATTTCAGTATGCTGCAATCGTTTTCGGTGCAAACTGTACACCCCGAAACATGTACACCCTTTTGTGAAAGGACCTGTAGCTTGTATATATTCCTGCGAATGAAAGTAGCAATGGCTTTTGGTGTATTTCTTATATCCAATTGGAAAAATGTTTTAAATTATGAAGGGTTCATATTTGGAATAATAATTTTTGAAAAAATAATTTTAGCATTATAAAAATACGATTATTGGTTATTTAGAGATCTAATTTGCAATCCTAACCAAAAAGTCCGCTATATGCATTTGTAATTGTTCAAAGGCCGAAGAACGTTTGCACAATTTAAAATGAAATGAGCCTAATTTAATAAGCAGATTCTGAATATTTGGAATCAAATGAAGGGTACAGTGAAGGAAATTTTTCTGCAATTAATTCTAACCTCAAAATCTGACCTAAAAATGTGTAACAATTAAATATCTTTAATTATTAATTCGTTATAAAATTCTCTGGTAATTTAAAACTCGAAGATTGCAGAAGTATACTTCATTCACTGTTACTTAAGTACTTAACTATTTTTCATTTATATTTTAATCGAAGCATTAAGTTATACGTCATTTTAATTATATTCGTTTTCATATTTCTTTTATAATATGCAACAACAAAGCTGACTCTGAGAAATGATATCGGCGAGATAATCGGGTTTGTACTAATTAATTATTTATTTAAACGAGCAACGTGGAAGAATTATGGAAACGAATAAAGTATTAATTCAGAGAGAGAGTCGTTTCGAGGCTGGTGAAATGGAAGGTCGATAAAATTCGATATTAATTGCGAGGGTATCGCGGATATCCGGTTGGCCAGGCTAGTAAATATTTTCACGGTGCATCGAGTGCACGGCTAGTGGAAGTGCATCGCGTGCAAATATTTTTATCTCGCGGAGAGCAAACAACGTGTCGAGTGCTTGCTTCGCTCCATCTGTCGTAGCAGGATTATCGCGACTCGCGAGTACAGTTTCAGGGAGGAATCTGCATTGCTGATAGGTATCTCCGTTTTTCGAGAACTAAGCTACAGCTTGATCACTGAAATCTTTTCACCTTGTCTTTGCTGCTTGTTCCTCGAACTTATCGAATTTTGACTTGGACCAACTTTTAAAATTCAGTACATCACATGTAAATATAAACTAAATTAGAAATGTAAAGATAGGAGTTAAAAATTTAGTGAATTATAATATGCAATGCTTAGTTTTATAATATAAAATATAATAATTATGAAATATATAATTAAAAATATAAATAATTAAATACAATTGAATTTAGAGCTGATTCTGAATATACTGTGACTTATCACTTCAGAAAATAACATGAGTGATATATGATCTATACAATGGATGTTATATAAGGTATATATTATTTTTATATACGACATAAAGTCAAAATTTAATTTAGCATATTTGTTTGGCAGAAATTATAATTTCTAAAAAATTAGTAAATAATATATATGTGTAAATATGACATAGAATATTAAATATAAATACTTCAGTATATTTAGGTATATAGTAGGTATAGTTCGGTATAATCAGTATATTTATATACGTTTAGACCATGCCCTGTCGTTCTAGAGAATGAAATTAATGACACTACAGAATCTAGAATTTTCAGAATTCTTTTTCTATTCTATAAGAATAGTGTCTGACATTAAATTGAAATTGAAACATTTCATTTATTTTTAGAAACAGCTATTACTGAATACGTTCAAAATTTAGTTGTGCCTAGACAGTGATTCATCATTCCAGTAGACATGATGTATCACATGAATATTAAAAATGGTTCCAAACTTTAGAACGATTTTCTGCAACACCCTGTACGAAGTTAAAGTTCTGATTGGCTGTCTCGTTCCTTCTCGATAAAAATCTGTCGTAATCTTCTATAAATATAAATGATGAAATAATATTATAAGCTATTCAAACAAGAAAAAGAAACAAAATAGAAATATACCAGGGACAATAAATACTTTGACTTCCAAGAACACTGTACTTAATCTTACCAAGTTTATGTGTATGTACGTACAATAACACGTAAGAAAATGCATATCATTGAAAAATCAGCGTACATAATACCCCAACGCGAAAAATCAATGACCGATTCATCGAGATAAAACGAAATCAAGAATGTTCCTCAGAAAGCAACAAACTCAATCATTTTTGACACCAATCTTACATCTATCAATAGAATCAGGCATTGTTTTTAAATGAGATATTAATACTCACTCGTCACTTCAACTGCCACCCTATTCTCGTCTCACACTTTAACAACCATAAATCCCCTTCACTCGCCATTTTGTATTTTTAACACCACTATTTAATAATAAACAAAACAGTCGAGAGCGATCTAAATTTACACATTTTTTCTCATTTATATCCACGAAGAAGACCAAGAAAATTTTCATGAGGGAACTGGAATGACCGGTATAGGCAATATTAAAAATAATTTTCGATATTCTTTATCAATTTTTCCCTTCAAGGTGATGGTTCCCGTTCTCGAAATCTCGCGGAGGGTGGTAGGGGTCGCTGGAGGCACGAAGTAGCAAAATTGCGCGGATATTGGCGCGATGGTACCGAGATTGCATGGCGAACAATAGGAAGAGGAAGGGCGCGCGTTAATTACGAGCACGAAAACGACCGAGAAACAAGATGTTTACGAGACTGTCGTGAGCAATTACACTTTAACAGTCGCCATGAAAGAAGCGCCTTCCGCTTTGTTTGCCATCCTCTTTTGCGTAACTGCAGGTGATAGATGTCGCTACAGTCTCTTGGCTAACTAGAGGGCCTTAAATTCAGTCTCTTGGATTTTTTGACGTTTATGGTCACTCTTTAATGTAACATCCTTGGCAACTGAAGTTGAAATTGATATATTTAGATAAATTTAAACATACAACTGAGAAATTTCCATTTATGATATAATCATTTTCGAAAATTCGTATTAAAAATAATACTGACAATTGTGGAATAAATGTAGAGAAATTATGGATATTTAACAATTAAAATTGGAGAATGATTAATCGATATGAATATTAACATTAGTCTACTTAGAGGAATTAAAAATTTGTATCGAAATATATTCTGATCGGACATAAATTTAAACGAAAAATTAAAAATTAAAAATTGGAAATAAATGTTAGGTTCTAAAATATATTTATTAAGAGCTAAAACAAGATTGAAACGAAGTATTACGAAGACTAAGAATTATACTGACTTTCACACGACTTTATTTTATTGTCCTTCAGTATTTTCTACGATTGTCCTTCTATTTTTCTGTAGGACTGTCTGACTCCTTGATTCTTCTCTCCTTTTATTCGCTCACACCTATTACACACTCCTACAACTGATCCCAAAAATCCCACGTACATTCCGAGAAGTCATTCATCTTTCTCATCGTCGATAACCTAACCTAAACATCCGCTCGATTGGATAATCGATCGATATAAAACTTGTTTAGATCTATCCGCCATTCATACCGACGATCTTCCGAAATACTCTCGCTACTACACTTCTTCCGATTCAATTTCAAGAAATATAATAAGCTAGTGAAGTATCTCGAAAATTCAGTTTCATATGGATTCACCTGACTTGGTAATTCAATTAGAATTTTTGCAAGCTCTAGAATTTTTATAAACGTGATAATTTAAATGGAAGGATAAAGACAAAGTGATAATCCTTCGTCGTTAAGCAATCTCGTGTACATCGAGGACATTGATGGATTTTACTGGAATTCAATAATAGCTTGTTCGTTGGCTAGTTAATTTATTTATTTACCGAACCGTTTTATGGCTTCGTGTAATGACACCAATCAGCCTGGATGAGTCTGGTTAATTACTACGTTCTGCAGAGCCTTGTGACAATTTAATAGGATTGTTGACAATATAACGTTACACACGATGATGCACGCACGTTTATATTATAAACATTATCGAATTTGCCTGCATAATATATCATATGATTAATGTGATTGATTTCAGGAGAGATTCTTATCCCCATAGAAATTGCTCTAAAATTGCTATATTACGAATTCATTCCTCTTTTTTAATTTTTAATTTATTTGAACGTATTATTACTCATTATTACTTATTTTTACACAATTTAAATTGTATCATATGAAATACTTTCACTTTGTAAGATTAATCAAATCATCGGATGTAAATGGATATAGGTTAGGTTTCAAAATTGAGAATGTTAAATGGAACGCATTCCTTTGCTACAGTTTATTTTTTAATAATAAAATTTCACCGTTAAACACAGCGAATTGTGGTATAGAACCAATCACTTGAAACTAAATTATGCAGCTCATAAATCGAATAGTTTGAGTTATTTAGTGCCTGGTAGAGGTTAGGTTGGGTATCCGAGCGTAGGTAAGACACTGCAGAATGTTCAAATATAGTAACAAGTATCCAATAACAAGTTCAAGGGATTCTAAATATTTCCCGTTCTATAAAAGGTATTATAGAAGTATTCAAATATAAATTCAATGTCTGATCCAAGTTCGAGAAAATTTAAACGTCTGAATCTAGGGGAAACATCGGAAGACTTGCTCAATTTAAGTTCAAGGCGATTTCAGGCTTTACTATGTACATCATCAATATTGTACTATAGAGTATCATAAAATCAGAAGTCACTGGGAAAACGTAGAATAAGTTGAATTATCATAACTCCCTGGTATCTACATTATTTAATATTTCAAATAGAATATATTTATACCCTTGATTAATTAATTTTTTCAAGTTAATACAAAATAGAATATTCTAAAGCTATTTGCAATTTTCATATCTACAAATGTAAACCATTTCTAATAAATTGACAAAAAATTTGTAACCTAACACACAAATTTATAATAACACAGGAATTAATATTTTTGCAAAATTTAACGAGGCTACGTTTCATTTCAAATTCATTTATTGATAGTATATCAAACCTTACGCAATTACTGAATTATTTCTCGATACGAAAAATGA